CCGGACATGTCCGGGAAAAATACCGGCCGGGCACTTCCCCTCCTGGGCTCCAGCTGCTCTGCTCCGGCGGGGCAGGGTCCAGAGGCAAGGGGGTTGCCCGAAGCCAGTAGCGCTCGGGCAGCTTGGCTCTTAAACAGAGCCAAAGAGTCAGGGGAGGAGCAGAGCAGCTGGAGCCCAGGAGGGGAAGTGCCCGGCTGGCGGCTCGGGGTCCGGAGGCAAAGGGGCTGCCCGAAGCCAGTAGCGCTCGGGCAGCTTGGCTCTTAAACAGAGCCAAAGAGTCAGGGGAGGAGCAGAGCAGCTGGAGCCCAGGAGGGGAAGTGCCCGGCCGGTATTTTTCCCGGACATGTTCAGCTTTTTGGCAATTCCCCCCGGATGGGGGTTTGATTACCAAAAAGCCGGACATGTCCGGGAAAAACCGGATGTATGGTAACCCTAATATTTGCTTCCCCCTATGGTGCACCAGAGGCTAGTCTGTTAACCTTCTAGAAACCTTGCAAAGGCCATCTTGTCCCTCACACAACACATTTTGAGGCAGAGGCTTGGAAGGGTTGTATTAATTTGCCAGCTGGGTAGGCAAATACTGTTATATCATGTCTGCTGGGGGGAATCTGTGTGTTTTCTGACATTATGAAACTTTCAAATTCGTAAAAGCAGCCAGAGCACGGGGGAGATGTCTCAATGACTCTAAGCATCCAAAATAAATAAATGCATATCTGTCTGCCAAGCAGATGGCTCGCTATTAATAAAAACAAGGTCCTGACAGCCAGCTAGCTATTCAAAACATATTCACTTTGAAGATAGCTGTCAATACTGTTGAAAGCTATGGCCTAGATTCTGAGTCAGGCTGTATCTCCATGCACAGTTCTAAGGGACTCAACTCTCCTCATGCACCAGTACGGCCTTCCCAGACCTTGAGCCTTCAGGGAGAACTGTGTACTGCATACCTGCTACTTTCCCATGGAGCGAGTGAGCAGAAGCTTGGCTCTTCCTTCCCCACAATGTGCAATGTTCAGCAGAGCCAGCACAGGGATCAGGGGATAGTGATTTTGCTGCTGGTATAGGCTAGTAGCAAATTATTACCCCTCTTGCTCTAGGGGATATAGTACACAGGACTTGTGGTAAAGGCACAATCTAGCCCTATATTTATTATATGCACAGCTTTGAATCTTCAAGAAATGTACTAATCAGCTTGCATTTCCACAAAAACGTTGGAAAATCTCATTGACCTTTTTTTGTGCTCTAACTTAAAACTAAATGGGTGTTTCAAGTCTCATCATAAGCCTATTACTGAGATTTCAATATACAGTGATCAATTGAACATCATATGGAAAGCAAAGGTGAAACTGGGACCTGCATAAGGTAAGTGATCTTTCTTTTGGAACTGTCTGAGAAGTTGCAGAGACCTAGCCCAGTGTTGACCCCGGTGTTTATAAATCATCTCTACCAAATAACCAGTTATTAAATTAATGTTACTGGCTTTCTGTGTGTCTTTCTCATTTGAGATTTGAAATAAAATCTTGTCATCTTTTTTTCTCACGGTTAATGCTCTTAGAAAATTTCAAAATGGGAGGATTGTTAAACAAAAGTAGACTAATATGCAACAAAATTTAGCCATCCAAGCACTGTGCTGTGATGTGATTTCATCCTTCAGTTTCTTTGCTTTAGTAGACTGAACCTGAGAGGAAAATGCGTTCTAAGGCTCTGATCCTGCAAAGACGTAAATACATGTTTAACTACTACTTGAGTAGTTCCGTTAAATGAGGACTAGTCGTGTGATTAAAGTTAAGCACGTGTATAAGTCTTTATAGGATCTGGGCCCAAATGACTGAAATGCTAGTTTTGATCATATTTTCCTTTTGGCTAAATGGACATCTGAAATGGCAGGTCAGGCTAATTTGTGGAAGGATGTCTGGCTAAATCAAGCTCTCTGCAGGGTATTCCAAATACATTTTCAGGTGACAAGAAGCACTTGTGTAGTATTAACATGAAATGTGTTAGCACCTCACCAAAGCTTTTGACTTCCTACAGAGTTGAGTACTGAATTAACAGGGCCATTGTTGTGTTATTTAACTGAAGCTGACTTGTACTTGTGATTTATGAGAACCTCATTTCTGTCTGTGAACAATCAAAATAAATGGATCAATTAAAGTAATCTTGTAGTATATAAAGAGCAGTTTATGCTATTGATGCAGTTTTTTACTTTTTGTTATTTGTGTCATGCTTAGTATGAACTAAAGGTAAAATAAATTCAGGGTAATAATAAATAGTCTAAATATTTTTGAAGACAGACCATTACTGCTTTTTGTTGGTTTCTCTTTGTTCCAGTTACTTTATACTAGCTTTACTGTAAGGGCTTGAAATGTCTTAAAGGTACAAATCACTGGAAATGATCAACAGCAAGATGTGAGATTAGTTCCAGTTATGATTGGTTTAATAGTTTTAGCTGGGGGTTTGTTACACCTGGAGTCATTGAGGGATGAAATTGTTCTTACCTCAGTAGTTTCAAAAGATTAAACCAGAATTTCCTTTACTTTAAGATTGGTAATTGCTTGTGATAGTCTCTGGATCTCTCTGGCAACTGTGTACAGCAAGAGATGGGTATAAACCCAGATCTGAACTTTGATAAAGTTTTGTTCCAGGTCCAGATTTTGTGTTTTTGTCCCATTTCTACTGAACTAATAACTATAATGGCTGTCCACTATCTAGCTCTATGGCAGAAGAGATGTAAAAACTAGTACAGTAACCTTAAGACATGCAAGGTAGTGATACACACATAACTGACTTTGTTTAGTTTGGTGGCTGAAGAGAAATCTCAAAATAAACATTTTGTTTAGTAGCTTCAAATGATGTTGGTTTTTTAAAAATGCTTTTAAATAAAATTCAGGTAAATTCCAAAACAAAATTTCTTTCTGAAATGTAAAACTGAAATGTTCCATTTCAGAAATGCTGAAATGAACGGGTCGGACAGTTCTGAAAATATTTTGAGACATAACCATTTGCCCAAAGCAACCCAATTTCAAACTATTTGGTAGATCCAGATCTGCATTTTTTCAGTGAAGAAAGGTTTTGCACCAAATATTTGTCCCAGGTCTATTGAAAACTGACTACCAGCAGAGTCAAGTTTAGTTTAGCAGCTAAACTGTGCCATAGATTTTCTATGTGAAAGGGAGGAAAATCACTTAATTTTAGAGTATCACCATTTCTTCGACTGTCAAATAGGGAGAATAATGCTTATTTCACATTAGGGCTTTGAGGGCAAATTAATTAATGTAAAGCATGTTGAGCTCCTCCAATTAGTTTCAATAGCAAAGCACCATGCTATTTTAAATACAATTTTTCATTTCCATTTTGCAACCACTTATTGGTTTAATGCAAATATTTATACAAATTAAAATAACCCTTTATATTTTTGTAGTTATATAATGACAGCTTCATCATCGCAGCAAGAGACAATATCAGATATGTGTCATGCTGCTACAGTATGTTGCCACTTCATAGTTTTGGCCCTCTCCCTAGGAACCCACAAGAGGTGTGGTGCTAATTCCAGCAAAACATGCTGACCAGCTTATTACCTTTTATTGCTTAAATAATCTTGCAACTTTCTAGGGTGGCCCTCTGGGTTTCATGACTGATGAATATTTTTTTTATCATCCTGAATGTCACATTTGTATGGCACTGATTTGGGGTAAGGTTTTCAAAAATGTCTAAGGCACTGGGGGCCAGATTTTGAAAGTATTTAGGCACCTGAAGATGCAGATTGGTGCCTAACCTGCTTAAGTGTTTTAGAACTTGCTGAAATCAGGAATGTCAACATGAATAAATGTAGAATACCTGTATTCTACTACTTTCCACCTATAGAAATCCCTGGCACTGAAGTGAATCTCAGTTTGAAGTATTCTGGAATGAAAATTAGAATAAAAATCCAAACAAATATTAGTGTTATCTTTTATTGAAGCCCTTCATGGTGTAAAGTAATGAGATGTACTAAAGAAAGTGAATCTGAGTGTGAGATTTCTATAGAAATCCCCAACAGATTTTTTGATTTTTCTTATTATACTCAAGCTTATTAATGTCTATGTGGGAGCCAAATAATAGTCACTCATTGCTGTATCACCTTCTTTATTCATGTTCCAACAACTACTTCAGAAGGAACATGTCTTTGGAAAAAGATCTTTTGTCCCATGAATCTCTAGGCTTATAGTCACTAAATGACAGTCCAAACATATTTGCTGCCATTTAAGATTTTAACCTGTTAACTGTGTGACAATACATACTGATCAGCAACCTTCTTTTGCCTTAAATACATGCAAAAGCTTGGGAATGATGCAGGTAATTCTTTGCACTCCCTGATTTTTAGACCCCTTGAATAATTTAGACCAAATCCTAATAGTAGTTCAAAGTAGAAATATAATCCCCAAATGGCGGATCCATATTTAATTGGACTGGAGACAGAAGTAGGAAAAACTATTGTGAAATACACAGTGCACACAATTAAGTTTTATATGATAAAAATGCATGTTTTGAACAATGTTCAATTTGCCTGGACAAATGACTAGAGCATGATTTTAGAGAGATAAGGTGGGTGAGACAAAATCTTTTATTGGACCAACTTCTGTTGGGGTGAGGGACAAGCTTTCGAGCTTACACAGAGCTCTCACCCCAACAGAAGTTGGTCCAATAAAAGATTTTGTCTCATCCACCTTGTTTCTCATGTGCTGGGACCACCACGGCTACAACTACACTGCATACAGCATGATTTGTCATACAATGAAATGTGTCTAAAGAGCTCAGTTGCTAGATGATCACCTTCAATATCTAAGCCAAACATATCCCCAGGTTGCTGCACATTTACTGGGTAATCATCTCCCTAGCGACTCCCTTAGGAAACCATGTCCTCACTGAATGATGTTTGCCATGAAATGGTACTGGCACCTGCACTCTCCTCTAAGTGATTAGCTGGCTACAGAAACCATAGTCCCTACAAGGACGCAAATAGATTAGCAATGTTCGAGATTAGCACAGTCATGAACTGTGTTGGAGATGGCTGTATGAGACACACAATTGTTTTATGGACTCTCAATAAAGAAAAAGATCTTGAGGAGGACCTGAAAATGGATGAGTTTCAAAGGACAGAAATACACACGTGCTCACTCACTCTGTGGTCTTTGTACCTTATTCTGGTGAAAGTTTTACTCTTACCATAGATATAAATTACTGAGGTCTGGCAACTTTCAGGGTTGTGTTGGTTATAAACCATGTGACATTTTCCTCCAGTGTGGATGAGACTAGTCTTTTCAGAAGCTGGATCAGAACAAACATTTTGTTTCATGGGAAAGAATCAAAAGAATGAATTGCACCCATATTATATACCAAGGAGAGGAGAAAAAGAAAAACTACTTGACAATGGCAAGACACTTTGCCCGCCCCCCCCCCCACTGTTTTAGAAGCCACACCACCTGCAATCTACAAAACTAATCAGAAGGCATGGTGACATCACGACTATTTGAATTCACATAGCAAGTTCTCAATCAAGGAACAATTAGGCAAAAGCAGAAGGTTATGCTGTTTTTAGACAATGCACCTGTACTCCCACAGATCCCTTTGAAAGACATTCATCTGTAGTTCTTCCCATCTAATACAATCTCCACACTGCAGCCAAGGTTTCATTCAAGCAACATCCTTACAGTATCAGAAAAGGTAGCTGTGGTATCTAATAACATGCAGAGATGCTGACAAGAATGTTTTAATGGCTGATTATTTTTAAAAATGAAGCAATCTATTGGATTAACGGGTTTGGGAGAGGAGTGCAAGAAGAAACAATAAAAAAATCCTTTGCTCTTGCCGTTTTATGTTTAAATTTAATTTTTCAAGCATAGTGGTACATGATGTACTGAGTGGCTTTTATATTGATGTGTTTGCATGTTCAGCAAACAGCAGAGAATGTTTCAGTCCATCTTTCAAGATGTCATATCTACTGATTTTAAAAAAAATGGGCTACAAGAAACACAAATAGATGGAAGAACCTGCTTCAAATGGTTGGACTTCCTCCCCTTCCTTCCCCCATCCCTTTCCAATGATGACAAAGTGATAATGAAGAGGAAAAATCATGCATACATTGTAAAATATTTCTAAAGAAAACAATGGCCTTCCCAGGAACTGTTTTCTGTACAAAAAGGATACTTGTTGGGATAAGTGACTGAAAATAAGACACCTTGTCAGAAACACTAGATTACAAAACAGATGAGATTGATAGGCCATTGTAGCCCTACTGACTTTTCAAACAATAGTTTCCATCATCATTTTCTCTAGTAATGACTATTTTCAGTACATTTTAACAAAACATTCTAGTCTAAAACCAT